TTTGGCAGAATTTCCGCTCTCTTCGAGACCCTGAGATAATTTATAGAAAGCCGTTGTTTGGTATGTTCTACTGTTGCGTACGGTTACACGATTTTGCTTTTACTGCTTTATGTGCGCATTGTTGCAAATGGGCATAACTTTAATTAGAGCATTAAATGCATCACATTAATTATGAAATTTTGCACCTGATCGATCTATTCAAATCCATCTTAGATATACACACCTATTAGTCAACGCATTACTTCAGTACTTAAATGTAATAGTCTATAAAATCATGCAGTTATCAAATTTATTATTATGTCGATTTTGATTAACATTCAATGTTCTAGAGTCATTGGTATATTTTTTAAGGTAAGACAAAATAGTTATTTTTGCATCAATCTCCTAATGAAAATATCGAACTTCCATTTACCATCCACATAACGCATATGAAGAAATGTATAATTCTGTAGGTTATTAAATTAATAGAGCATTAAACGGATTATATTGATTATGAAACTTTGCAGCTTGATTTGTTCGTAAAGCGATCATCGGTGTATTGGAATATCTTAAGATATTTAAACCAACAGTTTTAGACAACTATTGGATAAATCATTACTTTAGTACTATAACTAAAGTAATATCAAACAATTATTAACTTCCCGTAGGGTAAGTTATTATAATTATTATATCGATTTTGAATTACATCGAGACCTTTAGAGTTATTGGTGAACTTTGTATAACAGTAGCTAATATATTAGTTTATAGGCCAAATTATTAAAAACAACTACACTTATTTTTATAAATTGACAATTAAATCAAATTATAATTTATCAAGTTTTCATCCAACATATCTCTTATTAAAAAATACGAAAAAATGTATAACTCTATGTACACCACATTAATTATAATTTGAATCTATCTAATTATGATATTTAATACAATTCGTTTTACATATTATATTTATTACGTTAACCCCAAATTCTTTAGATTTATTAATATACGAGTATTTTCTATTAGAATTATACATATTATATTATTACACTAATATTTACATCAGTGTTCAAATTAAGATGTGAATCAAATCTTTTTTTAATGAGTTTCAACCACGAATTCAAAAATATTTGTCCATCTTGGTCATAAGGCAAATACTGTATATTCTAAATTGAATATACTTAGTATGTTATCAAATTAGATGAGCAAATGACTAATACCCTAATAATTTTAATAACATTTAATATTTATTACTTCCTAAAGCAATTAGCCTTAACAAATACGTAACGATGATACGATACCCAGCAAATGATGCAAAATCAACCGTAGACCCATTTTGCGTTTTGTAAGAGAAATTTAATTATTTCGCAGGCGCTCTTGCAAAAGAGCCTTTTTACCCACGCAACTTTTTTATATCTCCCAACTTTTTGCTAACGATCGTCTACGAAAAAAGAATGCCCATTAGACAATATTGGTTACAGTAATAACATAATCCATCGATATATTGGCAATTCAAGTTTTGTAATTTAATACGAAATAAATTATAATGTAAGCAAAAGTTGCACACTTAACAGAATTTACGATGCGGTTTTGTTTAATGATTGATTATGTGTCGCATGTAATTACATTTAATGATATAATATTATATGACCGGGTTTTGAAGAAGTTTTGATTGACAGATGTATTTGAATTACAGATGTTAATATGAAAGAAACACTAATTAAATGAGATGAGATGAAACGTTCCAAATTTACGTTCAATATTTATATGCAATTTACTAGAAAATGTACGTAAATGATTTACTTGATATTGTAATTGTCAAATTTCATTATAAATAATAATATGATTATTGTAAATAAAAATAATTTAGCAAAAATAATTACTAAGACATTTTTTTATATATTTAATTACTCTTTGGAATCTTGACTTTATGCATGTATTTCTTTTAGTATAAAAGAAATTTAACGAAAATATATTATTAATTTATAAAGATCTATAATAGGCGTGTTCGTATACATAAATCCACTTTGAGTCAGATTACACAGAGATATAAAGTTATAGCTTTGGCGTATACCATATTTATTTGCATAGTTGTAAGTGAAAATTTATATTATCTTCTGATGTAATGATTTTAACCACATTTCCTTATTCCACAAAACATAAACAAATAAATGCAGATATATATATATATATATATATATATATAAATATTGCAGATGCAAAGAAATGCAGATTTATTATATATAAATCTGTGCATGTGTAAACAGTTATTCAACAATAAATTGAAACTATTATTTTAAATAGTAACGCTGTACCTGACTGTCTATAAAGTATTAGACGATTGTACAATGTTGTAAATATAAAATAATTTTTTTCAAAAATATTCCAATTGATTTTATTTATTCAACAAGGAAAAATGCTGCAATATAATTCATGATTATTCAATAGTTTTCATTAGAAGGCTTAATCATCTTGAAGCATTGCTTAAACCAGACATATATCGGAGCCTTAAGTATAATTATTACTAAACTACTCTTCTAGTAGAAAAGTAGTAGTAGAAGACTTCTACTACTATTTAATATGTACATAAGACATAAAATTGTTTGACAATGATCTGTTGTATGTAAAATGTATCAGTAATACTGGAAGAAAGCTGCCCGACAACTTAAACGCTACCTTGCAATAAAATAACCAGTTTCGTTTTCAATGTTCGATATTACGTATACTCTCAAACATAGAATTATATTTTTTAATACTATGATAAAAATGTTATTAAAACACATGTAGGCCTAATACGCTTACTTGATAAGATTATTTGATTGATATGTGCTAGGGTTTATACAAAAACCGACATTTCAGAAAACCGGTTTTCGAATTTTAATTTTACTAAAAAACCGGTTTTAACCGGTTTTCGAATTTTATATAGAAAATAAATTTTTGCTCAAATATTCTGTAATTTATCCGCACATTTAGGGTAATTTAGAGCAGTATTTGACTGGATTTATTTATTGTTCAATTATACAGATAGTAAACAAAATTATTTTAATTTTAATTAGTAGAACTAAAAAATAATAGTTTATCTTGACTAAATAACTTTGAAAATAATTATTCGTTATTTATGCATCATTTTTACATATAAGAATGAATATTTTTATGACAGTGAAATGAAAGTTTTCAAATAAATATAAACAATATATTTTTAAATAAAAAAAATATTAAGTTAAAAAAAATAAAAAAATTAGATACATTTTGATACATACTTGTTAATATCAATTTTAATTTTAAAAGCAATTAAGCTAAACTCGGTTATCGTCTGTTCCGAGCAATTTTAATTAATTAATTTTAAACATTCTAATTGTATTTTTGTTTAATAAAATATGATTTCAAAAAACTAAGAACGTCTATCGAATTGCTAAGCCGTGTCCTCTGTTTACTCACAAAATTTCCTGAAATAGAAAATACTTTCATACTTGCGACCGAATTAAACTTAATTGTTAAGCCTGATATAATAATTCTAAGTTTTTTGTTCTTTAATTTGTGGCTTCTAAGGTTTAAAACTCGTTTTTTTTAAGTTTGAGTAGAGGAAGTTACTTCTTCGAGAAGAAGTCACACTGATTTAAATTAAAATATACTCTAGTATGAAAAATCTAAATTAATATATACAAAACCTTTCTGTGGACCATTGCAAACTGATAAGATATCAAATGCTATTGAACCGATATGATTTCAAGAATCAAAACGCTCTCATCTATCTTTTATATTTGGCTATATTTGTCGTTTTCCATTTATACAGTGAAAACCGACTTTTTTCACTAAAAAACCGGTTTTCGAATTCCATAATTTTTGCCAAAAAACCGGTTTTTAAAACCGGTTTTTGAAAACCGACAAACCCTAATATGTGCTCTATTTTTGAAATATAGTGATCATCAATTAAGATTTTACCACGCTTGTGAAATTAGTTTGTAACTGCAGGCAGAAATCGGCACATGTGCAAAAATTTGTTTATTCATAGTTTTTTCCAATACTTGACCAAATCGGTTACTAGTTACATTTTTTGCATATGGATATTTTATGTATCTAATGACTATGTATAACATTATTGTGGCTACTAAGCCGATCTACAATCGACCTGCTCCATTTATTAATCGTGTCGAATTAAATAAATTTATAATTATTCCATAGAACAAAATATGGAATTATCGACCTATTCATAAAATGCCTATATTTCAAAGCCTGCAAATTAATTAAAATCGAAAACAATGCAGCGCACTGATATATAAACGGGTAAAGCCATGACATTTTTAATATCCCATGAAATATTCTATATTTAATGAAACGAGAGCGTTTGTCATAGGCTTTATAGTCTAAATAATTTATAAAATGTGGAGTTTTAATTAAAATTTAAAAATAGTGAATTTGATAAAACTGACTTTGGTATAACATTTGCTACTAATAAACAATGCTCTATTAAATATATTATAATAAGCCATTGCTGCCATTATTAGGTTGAATATTAAATTAAGAATTACGATTAATAATTCAATATAATACAAAATTTTTAATTATAACATAATTGAATATGTTTTATATATCGTTAATTTAATATAGTAACAATTTTTATGAAAAATATGTATTATGAATTTATTCATTCAAGCATGAGCAAATAGTCTCATATAATATTATAAAATGGTTTTTAATGCTAACCACAATTACATGTTGATAAGTCAAATATTTTATTAGTATTTCTTAGTTCTAATATTGTACCTAAATTAGTACAAAATGTTCAATCTCTGTTTTTTCTTAAACAAGAAAGTAAGAATGAAATATGTCAGCCTCAAAATCAATGAATATTAAGCAAATGTTCCTTAAAAAATTGTTATACTTCTCGTTTTCCAACATTTGAGAACCATTCTCAGTATTTCTAGTATGATCAATATCAGTATTAAATATGCTGAATATTAGTCATAATAATGATTAGAAAAAAGAGAGTTCGATATATATTTATAAATAAAACCGCTTATGCAATAATGCGTAATTTAAAAATCAAAGAAAAAGTAATAGACGATGAACGATTTGTTACGCCTCCAGATCCCGAAAACATATGTGTTACGTTATTATATTATATTATGAAATAGTTTATAAATTCAAATATAAACGCGTGTGTGTATTCATTTATATTTATAGATCAATTGGAAATTTCTTATTTTGCATACGGTGACATAAAATATTAACGGAAGTATGATATAAAAGAAAGCCAAATAAAATATCTTGCGGAGCGAGTTTTAGCAAAGCATTTGCATATCCGACTCTACATAACAGATTGGAATTTAAAATTGAAATTTCTGGTGAAAATAATACGTAACATACTTGACATTTAATAGATCACGAATTAGATATATATATATATATATATATATATACATATATATAGGGGTTCTTGAGCGCACTGCCTTGTGTGGATCAAGTTAGCAACCTCATGCAGTAGTGATATAAATTTTTACTTGAAAATATAGACCAAAAATTTGTTTCCAATTGAAAGTAGCCCATTTTGGGCACTGCGGTGTGTAATGGCAATGGGAAGTCTCTCACACTATCCTTCTAAATCCTTTTCTTTCATACATTTTAGAATTCAAACTTTCAATTAAACTTTACAACTATACCTTATGATAGGAATCAGTTGTTATAAAAACATGTTCACCATGTACTTTTTTCCATCAAACGAAGAGAATTAACGATATCCCTCACAAATATGCAAAATAAAATGTTTTATTCATAATTATCACAAGTCATATATTAATTCAAATCGTTATGAATATGTGTCTTTCTCTCGTTTTTGCAGTCGCAAACATTTATATTATGAAATAGCGTGATTCAATTAGGTCAAAGTAAATACTCTCATTAGAATATATTATTATTATATGAGATGTTTTTGCTCGAACCGACATGAAAGGCAAGGACAGATTTTTTTTATTTGCATAATGTGGATCGTGGAATAAAAGTGATTGTTTTGGATTTTAGTAGATTTATAGAAACGCATTGAAGAGTTAGTCTTTGTTTTAAAAAACTAGAGTTATCGTAGTGATCATTTTTGAGCAAAGGTTGAACTAGATTTCGGTACCACTAGTATAATTTTTGTTTTAAAAAATCTAGAGCATTAGTAATGAAAAATTTTGAGTAAAATATGAATAAGATTTGGTTACCAATGTGTACAATTTATATATCACCTAATAGACAAAATAATTACATCTTGTCTTGAGTAGGAAAGGCGTAATTTTACTAGATTAAAATAAATCTTTAGTGCATTTTATTGTGTGTATAAATCTGAATACTATGTTTTCTAACTTTATTATTAAATATACGTTATACAGATTTTGAACAAATACCTATTCCCAAAAATGCCGCAGCATCGCCTCGCAGGGTCAAGACAATCACTCGAAGAAGATTAGTAACACCAATGAGTACTTCACCAACTCCTTACAACTTAGAAATGGTATCCTCTACCACATCATCAAAACAAATAAATAGCAATTCTAGAGTATCTAGCACAACTCACAAATCGGTAAAATTAGCGTCCAAACCAGAGAAAGCCAGTACTGCTACCAATCTTCAACCTAAGAATAATCTAAAAGCCGGTAATGCTAGAGTTTCGAAGGCCATACAAAATGAGGTTCCAAAAATAACATCGACATCAACCCCACGAATTATAGAATTAATTTGACGCCAACAACTCAGAGAAGCAAAGCCACGGCTCCTGCCTCTGTACAAGTCAAAAGTATGAACTCGGCAGCCGTAAAGAATGGAAACGCCACGAGCAAGGTAATTGCATTATGGTCTTTGAAAGTTTTGCGGTGCTAATTCTGTTACACTGCATCACAGAGATGAAATTAGAAAAATAATATATGGTTGTTTTAATTTCGTTATGTTTATCTCAACAAGGTTTTCTTATGTTGTAGCTAAGGTAATAGAGCGCTTAATTATAACGCTGTATTTTTTATTATTAAATTATCTTGCTGAAGAGTAATTTTATAATTTTACCTTTTCGTAGCTCTGGTATTATTTTTCTCATTTCTCTATGTATATTATAAAAATATGAGTGTATGAGATTTACGTATGTAGTCATATATCTATATTATATCATGAACGTAATGGCTGCAAATATGCTCAAGAAGTTCCAATGTCTAACAAAAAAAAGTTATGTAAATATGAGAGTTTTCTAAAAAATTTTTTGCGTTTTGAAATTCTATTATTCCTTTATCTTTGACCACCATACAAAAATGTATTTGCAGTCAATTTGTTATTTTGTTCTAGCAGCCAAAAGATTTACGTAATGTCCAATGGATAGTTGTAAATAGATGAGATAAATAAAACAGTTTTTCAATAAGACTATTACTTTTTAATAGGTGGAAGCAACTACTGTCAAAATTACTCCAACATCAGTTAGACCACCTACAAGACGTGACACATTCACATGCCCACCATCCAACAATTGGCAACTCTTCGCATTGTTCTGCGGACGAGATGCAGACTGTTACCACATGGGAAATAGTTGGCTTTGCTGCCGTGGAAGATGCCTTCAGGGCAAAGAAAAACAGCGAGCCGAAATAAAACATGAACGTACGTGTAGAAAATCTCACGATTGTATTACCGTTATGAAAAAGATTTGATATGAGAAGTGTATGTGGATTTAACTGTGATATTCAAATATTTTATAAAAAAATATTATTCGAAGATTTTTAGTAAAACTTATTTATATATACAACATCGTCAAAATGTAAGCAGGATTGAATCAAACATAATCAAAATTTGCTCTAAAATTACTTTTCCCACTTTGTAGTCAAATCATATCTTTTTGTACAAAAATCGTTTATCCAATAATATTACTTCTTTAAGCATCAATAATTCAGCATATAATTTTTGCAAGTATCAAAGTTTCTTGGTATTCATATTAATAATAATTTAAAGTGGTCTGATCATATCTTTATCTCACTATCACCAACTTTATCTAGAACATGTTGCGCACCCTGAAACCCAAACTTGGTTTAAATTGCTTACTTTCAGTTATTATAGCAACTTTTATTCTCACGTTTCATACGGCATCCAATTCTTGGTTTTTTATCCGAACTAATTAAAATATTTAAGCTTCAGAAAAGAGCTATTCGAATTTTTTCCTTGCCCAGTAAAGCTTCCTGCAGACCCATATTAAAAAACACAATATTCTAACTGTCCATGCATTTTTCTGCTGGTAACATTAGCTATCATCAAAAACAATTCGAAACTTTTTGATATGGCTTCGTCCTTCTCAAACTACAACACTAGACACAAACTTATTCAGGCGCGCACATATAAATTAGCCAGCTCTTTCAATACGATGACAGTCTAGGTATTCAGCTTATGAATAAACTTCCACTCAAACATCCGAAACTTAGACAGCAAAAAATTTCATGGTCCCTAGTTAAACTTTTTAAAGAATTAGCTTTTATGACATTACTGAATTTTCTCAATTTGATTTCAATAACTATTTTCTTGCATAATCCTTATCCTTTATCTATGTAGTCTAACCATTTGATCGCCTGTACAACCATTTTTTTTTTAAATTTTTTTTATTGCTATTTTATTAATTTAACATTTTTACGGTTTTAAATGAGTATAACTTTCAACCTTGTGCAAGAATTTTGAGCTTGACTGGTGGTCAAATAGACTTCAATATGATGAACTTGATGATGAACATTGTATTTAATGTTCGAATGCTTTTTTTCAGCTCTTTTTTTCAGAAGCGAAATTCGTGCAGCTGCTATGATTATTATAAAATTACTATCCTTTTAATATTAACTATAAATAAGCTTAACAAAAGACTGAAATAATATCTATTATTATTGATTACGGCTTATGAATAAATAAATAAATAAATAAAAAGTCACATACAATTTTAGTTGTCTATAAGATTTGATTAGCAAAGTTAATTTTTAACCGCAACTATGTATTAATAAGAATTGCGTTATATCTCAGTAAACACTTATTTATATATTATTTCTTCACCTACTTTCAAATTTTTAGCGCTCCTTGGCCTGATAGAACGCCGTTGTCCGACCGTTCCACTCGCTGAGCTCTGGTTTCCTGTGCGAACGTGCACTAAGGACCGCGATTGCTTTCCCGCCCAGGTGTGTTGCCCAGATGGTGCCAAAAGCTATTGCCGTAACCCGAGACATGAATTCGAAAATTTACCTGGACCCGCTGGAAATATCGTTAGACGTTAGTATAAAAAAATTTACTTGTGATACAAATGTGATATATTGATTTGAGGTCATATTTTTGTGAAGTCAATTTGAAATTATAGAACTGCATTGGTATCTTGATTCCTTAGTCTAATCACTGAAATATAATAATGAAGTCAAATCATGTGATAATAATATAAATAAAATATCATTCTAAGCTACTATAAAAACATTTATTAAATATATATTTAACGATATAATCTTATACTATTACTGTTAAAATAGTTCTATGCACTATTAACCCTCCGTCGGTCGGAGTGGTCTTGCCAGACTTTTTTCGACTTCAATTTAAAAAAAAATAATTCTAGTAATCCTATCGACTTGAAATTTCTTGACTTTTCCTAAAATTTCATTAGCTGTCGATCAATGAAAAAGTCAGGACAAAATATTGTCCGTAATAGAAGGATAATTATAAGGATATTAAATTTTTTATACTTCGAACGGTCGGAGTGGTCTGTCTAGACCAACTATACATTTTGTATGAAATATACACTTTTTGATATATGTAAACCAGTATTTGACTTTTTTCTGGTATTTTCTATTCTGCGTTTTATATATTCTTTGCTATGTGTTATAACATGAATGTTAGTATTTTCACGACAAGAGTTCCTTGAAAACCTACCAAACTTATTGGTCATCGCAAACATTGAAAATCAAAAATTTTTTTACCCGTACTGCGTTCGCAATTTTTTTTGGCAAACCTGTAGTGAAATTATATTTTCAACTTGAATTTGACAGCTCATTTCAAAGGCGAAGCACCTCATTTCGATTTCATTTGAATTTCACATTCATTTCGAAGGCGCCGAAAAAGGATAAATATTGTTTTTCATTGATATAAAACAGAAAAATTAACAAAAAAGCAACGATTTAATTTAAATATTATATTATATGTATATAATATTTAATATAAATATTATATTATATTATATATTTATATATAATATAATATATAATATTTCTATTATAAGCAAGTTCAACACATGCAAAAGATGGTAAGAAAAAGAAAAAATCAAAACTATAAATATTTACTACTAATAATCGTTAATATATAAGATAACAAAAACTCATTTATCCCATAGAAATGCATGTAAAATGAATAGTGGTCCAGCCAGACCACTCCGACCGTTCGAAGGTGAATAAATATCCGACCGACGGAGGGTTAAATAAATTAAAATATAAAAAATGGTATAAAATGTAGGAAATCTATGATACAGCCATAAATAACATCCTAAATATTTGCATATAGTTTCTATAAAAATAACTTAATATTTTTTTCTGATAGGATGGTTAAAAATTAGAGCTGTATGTGTTCTTTAATTACGAATTATATATATAATTATATATAATTATAAAAAAATTATATAAAAAAAAATTAACAAAAAACTTTAAAAAATTAAGAGTGGTCAACTTTTACCACTTAGTGGCATCAAAAATAGATTCCGATTCTCTATTTTTAAACTATATTAGATTAATTTTAGGTACATAGAGAAAAAATATTTTATCTCCAACATTGAATTGAATTTAATTTTTCTAATATAACATTGTCTACTTCTACTATTATAATTCCTTTACTTTTATCATATTTGTAAAATAAATTCTAGCTTTAAGAGCAGCTGCATCTTACCTTCAATGTACCCCACCACCTCCTCCAGTCATAGATTTCAACCCAACACCATGCAATTCAACGGCAGACTGTTTTCCAAATCTTTGTTGCCAAGAGAGAGGCAAAAAACATTGTAGACCGCCACAGAAAAATATCATTTCTTTGCTAGCTAGTATGACACAGGTATGTATTTGATAAATTGCACATCTCTATAATCACTATTGTATTTATTGTCAAGTAAGGAATGTAAGTGATAGCGAGCATTCAGTAGATTGGTTAACAATATTGTTGCGCAAATGCTTGAGTGAGTGTCCCATTTGTAAGCGGTACGTTGAATCAGATTTTAACCTGGTGTAAGGCGTTGCTCCGGGTCACTGTGATCTATAATACCAGTTATATTTGGGACAGTAAATAAATTATATATATATATATATATATATATATATATATATATATACAGTATTATTATTTTAAAAAAGATTTTTTTATATATTCGTAATCAAAATTATTATCATCATATTCAAGTAAACCAGTTGTAACGAAACTACAAACTTCATGAATAGAAATATTCTATTCACACATATTCCGTACTTTTGTGTCGGATCACAGTTGAGTCGCATAAATTACTTACAGTGAATTTTCGCGCAGCAATTTTGCTGAATGATAATCCGCTATTCATGCGAATGTAGGTTTTCGCTCTCATTTGTGGCATACCAGGGCTATATATAATAGAACCGAAAAGCAAATAGAAAATTTCCATTAATGAATCAACTGTGATTAACTTTATTATGCCAGAAGTTTGATCAAATATAGAAACAGTTTTGAACGTGTTAATTTATAATTTATTGAATGTATAATATCCACAAAAATGCACCAAATTATACTGATGAATGGCGGTGTAGTTATACTCTTTATTAGATATACCCATTTTATTTGTTTTTTGAAATCTAAAAAACAATATATGACAAATATATTGATGCATTTTGCAATATTTCAGAGATTTGGAAGCGGAATTTGGAAAATGATACAAGTGTCTTCAAGTCCTCAACTAAACAATTTATAGATGCTTAGTAAAATGTAGTTGTTATTATAATAATTATGTACTGTAAATATAATAATTTTAGTTGATTATTGAAATGTAATGTATGATAATTTATAATGTACAAATTTTTGTTAATACAAACTGTTGAGTTATTATCGTTTTAATTATGTTAATTGCCCAATTACATCGATTGTACATTAAAATGATTTTCATAACTTATCTATTTTAATTTCTACAAATCTTTACTTATTTTTACAATTTCAATATTGTAACTTTTTATAGTCAATGTATTTAAATATTAACATTTGATGTAACTTTATATTGCATATAATGCTTTTAATATTTGGCTTTTCTTATATAAAGTAGTAAATTCATTGTGCAAGCAGTATTCGAGTAACGAGCATCAAATATGTTACTTTGCCTTGTATGATGTGGATTTACAAACTCAAGGATTAAACTTCCCCGTATGAAGTTTTCATATTAACTCTTTAATTACGTCAAGAAATGGGTTTGAAATAATGCTAATGCTGGATTTGCTTATACTCAAAATGTATACGTATGTAATTATAAACTTGAATGGATGAACAGCAAATAACTGATATATATATATATATATATATATATATATATATATATATATATATATTAGATTGCCAAATATCTCCCTTCCGCTTTTTTGCTCTTGGTTTATAATACAAAATGGCGGAAGGGAGATATTTGACAACCTATTATATATATATATATATATATATATATATATTCATCATTTTCAACCTTATTCTCACTCACAAATTTGCAACTTCCCATTTGAAAATACATAAGCCTACTTCCTAATTGACAATATACATATTCTTAAATTGAACGTCTCTTTTAATATACACGAAACTATACACACCTGTAACTAAATTATAATCAATTATAATTCTTAGTGAACGTATATGTTAATTTTTGGATACTTATTAACTAATTAGTTTAGATGTATTCTTTAATGATTCCTAAAGAAGGGGACATCTCATACTTCTGATACTTGATGTAGTTATATATGAAAAATTAAATAAAACATCTCTTTCAAGTGGGCTTTTAAGTTCAGAATAATAAAATCACAAATAATATATATACAAAAAACTAGAACAATATTTATTCATTGGGTTGATACATAAAGCAGCCTATTCGTTATAGAATTAACAAATGTAACAATTTTCATGAAATTTGCAATAAAACACATAACGCAAAATATAAAAAATAAAAGGCAAGAAGTGCTCAATATAACAGCAATGCTTAAATCATAATTCAGTGGTTTCCAATCTTTTTTGTCCCTCCCCTTCCAGCTTTAATAAAAAACATTGTTGCGCCCCTCTTAATTTTTGCAACAATTTAATTTTATAAATACTCAACTGATATTATCAGATTACAAATTAATATGCAATTATGTAACAATATGCATAAAAACTAATTATTTTTTGTTAATGTTTCAACATCATTTCAAAAATTTTGGGTTATTTTTGAAAATAGTATTCTGGAAACAGATCTAGGCGCCCTTTAGAAGACCCTGGAAGGTTGGACACCGCTGCCATAATTTTTAAATGCAAATTGTCAAGTATTATATATAATTAATAGAGGGTGAATGTATAGGGTTTTTACTGTATAGACTGCAACTTTATAGAACATACCAAATAACAGAAAGCAAATCGAATAAATATCTGTTTCTGACTGCATTTGCTAACTCCATCTGTATATCATGCTATGCTCAGTAGAAGAGAAATTCATCACTATTGGTTTGGAGATTTATAAATAAAACGTTATACTTTGAAACCGAATCTAATTAAATGTAATAAGAAAAGATGTCTTCTTGATGAAACCTGAATAGTCTTATTAGTTGCTCTATTATCTATTCGCTTAAAAAATTATGCAATAATTAAATAAAAATCAATTTCAATATAAGCAATTCAATAGACTCATACTTAATTTTATTTATAATTTATTTGAACAGCGATCAGAACTTATGGGTTCTATGAGCTGTTGTCATTAATATCTTACAAACTACGTTTGTTTTTATTATAGATGGCAACCCAAACAGCTGTCTCATCTCTATATCCTGAATTTTTATTATTACAATTACTGTAATAGTGATGCATTTAATTGGTGCAGCAATGCCGTATTAGGGCTGTTTTCACTTGGAAACATATTGCTATCTATATTTCCAAGTGAAAATCGTTGTCACTGCTGCCTGACAACAGCCTGCTCGATGTGAGTATCGAACCCGAATTAAAGATTGCACGATCCAAACCTACAGGTTGCCGCAGTTAGGGATGATTCCATAGGATGTTAATATTGCTACTCAATAGAATATTATTATTGCTCCAACTAAAAATTCCCATTTGAATATTTTTTCTTTATGCTTATAAATATAAATACAGTGAGCATATGGTGTAGATGTAGTATAAAGTTATTCGCTGGCATGCTTGAATAACCCTTTTGTATAAAAGACTATCCCTCATTTTGGACACTCCTATATAACGACGGCTACAATCGCGTCAAGAACAAGATTTATAACGATGTGTGCATTATTCGATTTAGTAGGGAGGTTGATATCTTTGAAATAAATATAATTTTTATTTGGCAATATGAAGATTACAAAAAAATACTAGGTATATTTAGAGTTAACTTGCCTATATCATAGCATATAATACAAATTTATATCGATATCTACGCTTTTGGCAATTAAAAATGATAATAGTAGTATAAAGAAAAATTAATATGTTAGTGTACAGCAGTTAAAAATATAAATAATTTTAAATATTTATATCGATAGCTTATCCACAAGAAAAGCGCATAAAAGAATTACTGAATATATTTTAAAATTATTTTCACTTAAAAATATATTTTATTTTTAATTATTATTATTATCTATTATTATTATTACTTTTACTATTTTTATGTTGTTATCTTTATTTATTCTTATATAGTTTTTGTTTTGTACATCTTAGCATAGCAGCTCATATGATGTAATTACTGTTCTGATTGCTGTATCATAATAATAAATAAATAAAAAAAACTTAAGAAAAAACTTAAGAATATAGACCGAAATATACTTCAAAGTGAAAATAGCCCTTATGAATATTGCCACAAAAGTCCAGTTTATCACAACTGGATGGGTCAGTCTTTAGGTTGCCTATAATAGCCAAGAGTTAAATATTAATTTTCAAAATAATTACTAAATATTTTAAACTACTGAGTATAATAATTGAAAGATATTATTTCATATGTAATTTAAATATGAAATAAGAAAAAAGTAACAAATTATCTTGCTAACATAATTACAATAAGTAATAGCAAAAACATATACTAAATCTTGTACTTTTAGCAATTAATAATAGTAGTTTTACTATAAAGTTTGAATATATTGGTAAATACTATTCGAAAAAATTATTTCTATAAGTTAAATATGGGATAATACTAACTATATTTTTAATTAGCTTGAATAAATAAATCATAACAATAATTATAGCTAGAAATGTAGTACCTTGACTAAAAATATTCATTCATTATTATGGGGTATGTATAAATGTATATCAACAACAACAATTCTATAACATACATGTACAAGTTAAACAAAAAAAAATTAAATGCATAAAAGTTTGCAAATATGATTTTGTATGACTATATACGCATCCATTGACAATTGCATTTATTTGAATAACTAGGGGAAGCTTTTCTAGAAACTTCAGAATTTCAATAATATTTACTCAAATAAGTTTAACAAATAATATAAAAATAAGTAAAAACCTAACGTTGTAAGTAATTATATATAAAAAATATATACGCATATGAATACAATATTCAGTCGCTATTAACTTAATAATAGGAAATATAATATATCAAATAGATTAGCAAACAATGCATAGAAAACAATAAAATAATAAAAAAACTAATGATACTGGTACAACAATTTTTGGCTATTTTTTTAATTCGATTAAGTATTCTGTGGCATTAATAGTAGGTTAAAATTATGATTATACATTTTTTAAATATTTTCTTATTTTAATTAGTTAAAATTTCTCTCGAACCCCTTTCTATTATTACTATACAAGTGTGTTAAATGAACTATTGAATGAATCATCTAAACAATGAAAATGAAAAGGGAAGCCGCTGTACAATCCCTCGAATAAACATAGTAAAGTTTAGTTAAGATAGCGGTGTTATTTATTAATGTTTACCAAAAACAATTAGAAACATTATAGAAGATAATAGTATAAAGCTAACACGAAATTTATGTCAACACAGATAAAACTGGGACGCAATTATCCTGTGGCGAACTGGAGTAAAACATTTCTTATCCTTGCTATTAAAAGGGGATTGATAATAAAATCCATTAACCAATTTTTTATTAAAAAATTATTTATAATTTTATTATATAATTTAATTATTTGTCTTTTATATTTGTCATTTAAAACAATAGTATTAACGATTGAATAGCTCTGTTATGTATTCTGAACGCTAGACAATAAAATTATTTAAAATTTTGAATCAATAAACAAAACGTAAGTACAATATTAGTCAGACAATGAACAATGAATTGTATGTAAAGAATATAAATATTTGCTTATATTTATGAAAAGGTTGGTTACATAGACAATTGTAAATATTCAATTTAAATTATTAATGAATATAATTTATCGTAAGTTAGTTTACAAACTACCTCATGAAAATCGATGAATGGTACAATTGTTGTATTTATATAATTTTGAGTTAATTTCACGTGTTTTGTATAATTTTATTATTGATCAACTTAATTAAAACAAAAGTATTCAGAAAACTTCAAATTATTACGTAGCATCTTCAATAACAAATAATATGGATAATTTCTTAATTATTGGACAAATCAATCAATAGGTCAATCAATAAAGGAAAATTTTTCTAATAAATGTCATTTTGTTTCTATTTATGAAAAACAACGATCGATTTATGTACATGTATAAATCTTTTGAAATTATTATTTTTATTATATAAACAATTACAGT